GTTAAGCTCCCTGAAACCACCCTCATAATTGCGTTCGGTTTCGTTTCCGTTCGCAACGCTTGGCAACTTTGGAAAGCAGATTTCAACTCAGCTTCCAAAAAGACGTCCAGTACTGAGAGTCTCATTTCAAGTGGCCACGTCGAATTGAGATCATTCCCCGGTCAGATAGACCCCATTCAATCCTCGAGGTTAAAAACAATGGCTTGCAGAATTTGAGGAAAATCTGCGCAGCTATCAGAGTCGCGCCCAGATTGACACAGTGACGATAGCAAAGCCTTGTCAAAAACCCTGTCGAAAGTCGCAAGGTCATTGTACGAGATAACTTCATTTCAAAACTCCACACGAGGTTACAATTCCTTAATGACTAACGTTCTGGTGAAACCACCTCCATCGGAACCGGTGAAATAAATTACCCGATCAAGTTTCTCCACCCCCCCCCCCCCCCCCCCAACAATATCTCCGGGACCAATTTGATCATCAAACAATCCTAAGTGGATAAAAAGTACCTACCTCCCTGATAAGCAGAACTGGCCCTCGTTAGCAACGTAGTCTGGCTGTCTCGAGTTAAAGTTCACGGTGGAAAGCTAACCGTCATACCCGAACGTCACCTTGAAGATCTCTCTGATTTGGTAGTGCGACTCAAAGTTGAGTCGCCGCGCTGTCCAGTTTTGTACCTGCTCATTTAAACCCACAAATCAATAACACTCTCATCCGTCAAAGTTAGGCCTATAATCAGTCGCGTGGGTGGTCCCACTGACAGAACTGCATGGATTCTAAACGTTATATTAGCACATCTACTTCGTTTTATTCCTTCGCACCTTACCAACATTCACATGTTTTTATGCCAACTTCGTAGAGTGCAACGAGCAAAACATGCGGAAGGGAATCCTTTGATGTGGAATCCTTATTTACCAAAGTTAGTAACGATGCTGCCATGGACCTGTGCTAGGACTGCTTTCCCAGCACGAAAGCACAGTCAACATGTACGGTTTTTCATTAGGTCAGTAATGGTTCTTCTGAAAAAATGCCTAAACTGTAAAATCTTTAGGTGGTCGGGAAAGGTGTACGGTATCTTTTCCCCAAAAACGGCGTCGCGTTCACCGTATCGAAGCAATCGCGCTCTTTGAAGGGAAAGGGTTGAATTCCCAGTGCAAGGATAGGACAGCCGCCGATGACCTTTGCCACTTGTCGTGGGATTTCGGGGAGAAGTTCCGGCACCCTCGGGGAAGTACTATGCGCAAACTAAAGGAAGGCCATGGGGCAACGACTTCTTCCTACTTTGGCCATTGTCTTCATATCCAAAACAGAAATGCCTGTACTCGAACGTCTCCCTGTGCTGTATTGTCAGTACATCGACGATTGCTCCAAAGTTTGCGAAGAGCAAACAAGCAAGCAAAGTTCTACGCAGAACGGAGTTGACCTTTGTTTTGACCCATTTAATCCGAGCGGATACAAGTTACTCGAGAAAAGCCCTACTGGGAGTGGCTGCCTTTCCTTATTGTCCAAGTAAGAATCGCTAAGTGTGACTGTGTGAGTGTGTATTCCACAAAGTGGTATAGAAAGCCCAGCAATAAATACATCATTGTTCATTGTAAATCTGCACACCCTTTCCAACGAAACGAGCAGTGTTAGGAGTATGTATCGAACTGCTATAGAAGTTTGCGCTAAAGAGTATGAGCGAAAAGAGTCCGTAAACTTAGCACGCAATATTGCTGAGCTTGCCTGCATTAAACTCTCTTCATTTCGAAAAGCGGGAACAGGCCTAGTGGTGATTTCTTTAATGGTGAGCACTTCCACAAGGGTGTCTGAGGAGAGCGGATCCCGAAAACATTGTTGGTAATGCCGAAATCCCTCCTGACACACTGAAGCGCCGTTTGGTCCGCCGTTTGATCGCCTCTACGATCGCACATGCGCAACACCTAATTGTGTGGTCTGTCCTAATGGAAAGAAGGTGACTGTAGTGTTGCTGGTGCGGTTTACGAAATCGCTTGTCAAAACTATGGAGACGAGTATATACTAGGTGAGACAGCTACACCACTCTTCGTGCGAATCAAAGAACACAAAAAGGTAGGTTAGGTCGCTCCCTTCAAATACCTTAGGTTGTCAGGGACAAACTCATAATGGAGATGATTTTGGGGTCACGGTCGTTCTCGGCAACTGTACCACAAACAGCCGCGATTTAGACCCCAGAGGCATTTTGGATCCGGGTCGTGGGTCCAAAAATGAATCGAAAGGGGAATGCGTGTCAATTACGCGGGATCTCACCCCTTGTATAAGGTTAGCCTTCCATCGTGAATTTTGAACTCGAGACAGCCGATCTACGTCGCTCACGGCAAGGCCGGTTTTGTTTACCAGAGAAGTAGGTACTTTTTTCTACCTAGAATGGTTTGATGATCAAATTGGTTTGATGATATTGTAGGGGTGGAGATATTCTAGTGGGTAATTTCATGAATTCGATTCCATCCTTTCAGGCTTCGACGAAGGTGGTTTCACCGAAACCTCAGTCATTAAGGTATTGTAACCTTGTGTGGAGTTCTACAAAGTTATTTCAATAACATACCGCGGTTCATCGANAGCCGCACGTGGAGTTTTGTTTGAAAGCCTGGACCTAGAAGTGACGTACACGAGTAACGCCTTCTTTTCTCATCAATGATGTCTTCCTGCAAACCTGATGAGCAGTGGACTCTGTGCCTGTGATTAGGGTGCCATAGGCCTTGCAATTCGATGAGTGCAAATCTGCTTGATTGCTCGATCTCATGTTGGGATAAAATTGCGGTCATTCCCCTAAAACAATTCTTTGAGTTTCAAAAAGTGGAATTGTTCAACGACTCAGCGCTAGGCCCAGGTTTACAGCCGGCTGATGGAGAAAGCCAGTTACGATAGACAGTTTAAGCCTTCGAAATAACTCACTGATGAACTATGATATGATGAGACGTCATTTCAAGGAGAAGCGTAGGTCTTCCTACTTCCGTCGAACTCTTTGGACTATATGCGAAGGCTAAGGAAGAGTAGAAGACTTTGGACAACAAATTCAGCCCGATTCAGGGCTTCGAGCCTTGGGCCAGCTACTAGGAGTTTCTGAGAGATTGGCTGCTTGATTAAGCGATGTGACATCCATCCAACATCTTACATCCGTGCCTACTGGAAATGCGCTGGAATTGAGCAAAAGCCAGGAAATTTGCGAGAGATGTAAAGCTCTTTCACAACGGAGGGGATACCCAACGGAATGGTGTGCCTATAGCAGCCGCAGAGTCCCTCAAGGCTCTTTCTCTGTTGGCAAGAAGATCAGCGTCGTATCACGGCTGTGAGAATAGACATAGAGAGTGGCTAACATCCGTGTATACATGAAGCAGGCTGCTACATTCGCGAGAAATATAAGCACTATCTAAGCTTTGACGATGCTATAAGGTCACTTCCGGAATTTAATCAACTCACCATCGTTGGAGATCTGAAGGGTCACTACGGCAGGAAACGAAACGATTTAAAAAGTGTTTACGAAGTGAAAGAAATGGGAATAAAGAAACAAGGAAGCGGAGGTTCTCGACTCAGCTCGTAACCTGGCATTCTGCAGCACCTTTCCCACGGGAGTGAAGACTCAGCATTTATTATATTGCCAACTCCCAGACCTCGAATGACTGATATAGCAAACCTGGAGTAACGCTCACGCTGTGAAACGCGTTGTCCATGTACGTCTTCGCCCGATGACGTACATGGACAACGCTGATGAGACTAGACGCAAGCCGCAGATCTAGCTGCCTACAGTATTTACTTGTACTTATACTTACGCGACTCGCCTTCACTCATGTGCGAGAACCAGCAACAAACCATTCGTTTCACTGTCACGTGATAGCGATGTGAGGAGCCTTTCAGCTGCTTTCGCAGCTGTGTCACGTGATCAACTAGCAGACTCCCCCCCCCCCCCCCTCCCATCTCGCAGTAGGCCTTCACTTAGACAGTGGGAATCCGACAAGAGCCTTCCCAATTGTTCTTCTTGCCCATTTGTCATCATCTCTTTTCATTATATTGCATTGTATGGCCGGCTCACCAAAATTGTGTGTCTTCATGTATTCCACCAGGTCGCTGAGTCGGGATATTCTGCGCATATCGGAGCTGCGGAGTCCGGCTCAATATTTAGAGAATCGGCTAAACTCCAAGAACATCGCTCCAGTGTTCTATGAATTACTCTCAAAGTCTCTGACGTGGATGTACTAGTCATCCATGTCTACGATCTGTAACAGAGCACAGAAAGAACTGTATCATCGAATAAATTAGCGCAAAGCTTCAGGTCAGCCAGTTGGTCAGTGACCTCTTTCAGAGGTTCGAAGGCTGCCCACGCTGCTTTCTGCAGTCTCATCAGTTCTTCCCTCATGTCGTTGCCCGTGTTCAGGGAACGACCGGAATAAACCTAGGTCGAGGTCTCCTGGATAGGTGTATAGGTGTGCCATCGATCTTGATTTTACCTTCGTTAGCCCGAGCGTTCTCCGCCTTTGTTTGGTTGATCCCGCAGCCTCACATTCTCTTGCTTTATTGAGCTCACTCAACAAGCATAGTCTCAACTCCCGCAGTGCTGCTTGAAAAGAGAGCGATGTCGACCGCAAAGCGGAGATTTGAGAGTCCATCTACACGAATACCCTTTCCTCCCTAGTCTAGCGACCTGAAACCCACTGCAGCGCGGCTGTACACAGCTTCGTCTAGTTAGTAATAGTACTAGTTCCGTCTTGTCTCACACTCTTTCTCATGGGAATTGGTAGAGGTCGTTGGGACAGCTTCGCCAATGCGCTGTCGTGACTATGCAGTTAGCCAATTTCTTATGTAGGAAGGGTCCACTCCTTCATCGAGCAGTGCTGACAGGACCGCATTCGTTTCGACGCTGTCAAGAACTTTTCCATAGTTAACAAAGATAAAGGAACAAAATGCATTCGGAACTCTCGCCAAACTTCGATGATCATTGCGACTGCTCGGATATGCTGTGAGCAGCTGAGTCTTTTCCGGAATGCGGCCTACTCTACAGGTTGAGCTTCGTCCAACGCGATATGCGGGTTAGAATGATCTTGAACATGAACAGCCTGTAAAGCATACTTAACAAGCTCCAGCGACGAATTTGTAGAAGGAGTGTGGATGATCTCTCCAAGCTGATCGTCGAACGCATCGAGCTTTACTTCGTCAGCTGTAGAGTGTGAAGAGTAGCAGTTGACGATGAATGTGATCTTCAAGTGCGTGTGTCGTAGGCGTAGGATGGCAAAGCGAGGAGATAGGACCTTGTGAGAATCGACAAGATGGACGAAATATGGGCGCACGACGAAACCAACTCTGATATCGTTCCATGATGGAACATTAACATCACGAATAATGAGGGTTCCACCATCCATTCGTCGCAGCCACTCTGGAACAGAGACAGCTGAGGTGGCCTAACTTTAGCCGTTCATACATGCACACGTGCTGTTGAGCTCAGTTTTATATAGATACTTATATAAATAGCCATTAAAAATGATGAAAGTTCCAACGATCAACTCCGTCGGCATTAGGAAACTTAGGCGAGAGATCTTGGATCACGCAAGCCGACATCTGATGGTAGTAACGAAAGCATGTGGCACGGTGACAGAGACGTCTCCCCTTCAGTGGGCTTGTACTTCTCCGAGCGGGTCGTGGTCCTTAATCCAAGACGTATAGTTCTCGAGTGGGCGAGAACGCTTGCCCCTTTGCACTTTGGACAGAAGTAAGGTCCCTCGAGCCCTAGTGAAGATGAAGGTCTGAAACACTATTGCATCGATGGGGTACCAACCGAGGCATGCACGGCGGTTGGCAGAGGCGTGGAAGTTCCCATCACAAAGCGGACGAGGGGCTGAAGTGCTTTACCGGAGGATCAAGTTGACTGCGCACACGATCAAATCGTACACGTGACACGAGATTCAGGGGAAGGGGAGCGAGAGCTTTGATTTGAAGAGCTTTTCGAAAACGAAACGTCCCGTAATACCTTACTCCCTCTCGACCAAGGTCCAATACAAACTTTGCCCTCCTCACGAGCTAACAAGAGCCGTAGACGGTTGACTTACAACAAGGTTCAGCTCTCTGAGCTCGCCCCCCCCCCTTCCTGTTCACAATGGATGACTCCTGAAAAGACGTGTGGATGGATCACTGAAGACTATCTTCTGCCCAAACAACATCGCTCTGATAGAGTCGAGGAAATCTTCAGCTCAAGTCGCATGTGGCAGGTTTGGCGAAGAATAGGCTCCGACCAGATAAGAAAAAGGCGAACCTTCTAAGTACTCAGGGCTGCCTAGAGCCAATCCTTAATTGCTTAGAGTAAGACATCGGAAGAGTGCGAGGCCCTCGATATTTGGAGAGCGACCTGACCTGGTAGGGTGGACTAGGCTGTGAACGTGTAGGCAGCGTGGATGAGGTGGAGGGATCCCACTGGTATCCTCTGCGAGCGAGGTACTCCAAGATGTCCTGAGGAGAAATTGCCGCGCAATAGTGCCGCCCACAGCGAGTGCCAGCTCACAATAACAATTTTTCTCATCTGAAATGAGGATCCTTAGGTAGGCTTGCAGTTGGACGCGAATGGAACGGATCAAAAACGGAGACGAAGTGGATATGCGAAAAATCCTTGTCTAGCTGAAGTTAAGCGGGTAGCGCAGGCAATGCTACGCACACACACTGACAAGGCCGCAAAATCCTTGGGTGTCTCTGGGACAGCAAATCCTAGGGCCATGTGAGAAAAGTAGTATCGAGCTGGTAAAATGAGCAAGAGTCTATGACAAGTAAGTCTTCCGACAACGAGGAGGAGAAGAAGCCTTTAATATTAGCAAGGAAACAAGCTTCACCCTTCTATTTTTAGCAATGGCGATGAACTTTCTTACAGTACTGGAATTCTCGAACTGGTCGAGTTGACCTTAATAAAGAATAGAACGGCACGGAGAAATTTCTTCTTAATCAATTATTTCACAATAATTGTCCTTACGCTAGTCACACTTTTCCAAAACGTTTTTTAGCAAAAGGCAGCGACGGCAGTTAACCTACTTATTCGCGTTCCATGCCCACTGTGGTAGCATTGTATTGAAGAAGATGAAAAAGTTAATCGGCGTAGGATTCGTCATTTCCCGGCTAGCTCGCATTAGTGTTGTTCTGAAACGTCCACCTTAGTACTAAGAGATGTGCAGCAAGGACATTGCTATTAAGTAATGGCAATGTAATTATGTTGGAGCGAATTTAACGAGGAAAAAACGTGGGATGAGTCATTATGAGAAGTTTCATAAGCCTGCGCCTATAGTTTGCGTGCGCACTGATAGATTATTTTCACTGATAACAATAGGAAGCAAGACTGTAGGCTATGATAGGATGATTATCGAGCAGGAAACATGCGCTGACATTTGCTCTTTGGTTGTAAGATTTCCGAACTATGAGCATAAGCTTTTATACATTTCATCTTCGAAACCTGTTTCCTCAAGTTAAGTCACTCGAGCGTTTTTTTTTTCAGAGAAACTAATTGTTCCAAACTTGTGCGTGGAAGGAGCTCCGCTTTTTGGCATACAACAAGATTCACAAGACAACGTTGTGGAAGGGAGAAAGAGTGGTGAACGTATTATGAAGACTCCGATTCGTACTTCTCAGGAACTAGCCACTGATTTTACTGAGAAACGAGAATGGAGAGAGCCTGAAGCCATAATAGAAAACGCAGAAGACGTCATGAATTACTTGGGCAGAATGCTCAAGCGCTCTGAGAAGGAATGGAAAATGGAGGCAGAAGAGAGCAAATCTGGATCAAAGAGAAACTACGCTTCATCTGTCGATACCATCTCCAGAAAACTTCTTGCTACGAAGGGTCTCTCCAAAGATGACGGCTCGATTTACTCTAAAAATGTGGGAGGGACAACACCTTTCTCATTTTTTGCTGTCTTCTCTGCACCTGCAAAAGCCACTAGGTCTAAAAGATCACACCCATTCCATAATATCGCACGTCTTATTGCTCCATCCCATCCTGTTACACTTCCTGAACAACTCTCCACTACTCCTACTATAGCGCCCATCACCACACCGGCACCAAACGTCTCAAACGCAACCCCTACCCTATCTTCTAGTACTACGAATACCACATCAGCAACTCTTAGGATCACTCCTGATACCGTTATCGTCAACGCTACGGCTTCTGTTACCATTCCTACAGATACTGCAGCCGCTACTATGGCACCGTCGAGTCCATCACCGACACACAAAACAACTCCCACCATTACTACTCCAGTCCCGCTATCAACCACTGCTAGTCCCTCTCCTGCAACTACAAAAACTATGCCTACTTTTACACCAACAACTACCAGAAGCGCCATAGCTACCACTACCGATAAATCTGCCACAACAATCACTGCTGGGCCCATTCCAGGAATAACACCTTCGTCAACTATAACTACGATTACACCTACAACAAAAACTACGTCCACAACTACTAAGACAACATCCACGACTATCCCTATAACAACGACAACTTCATCGACCACGACTACACCTGCAACAACTACTACAACAACAACCACGACTACAAATACTACGGCAACAGCCACGTCTACACCTACGACAACTACAACAACAGCAACCACGACTATACCCACAACAACTACAACAACATCTACCACGACTACACCTACAACAACCACAACAACATCAACCACGACAACACCTACGACATTTACCACAACATCAACCACGACTACACCTATAACAACTACAACCACTACGACACCTACTACAACAACAACCACAACGACACCTACAACCACGACTACACTTACAACAACCACAACAAGCACGACTACCCCTACTACAACTACAACTACAACTACAACTACAACCACTACTACTACTACAACAACTACCACTACTACGCCTACCACAACAACAACATCCACCACAACAACCACAACTACTAGTACAAGTACAGCAGCTCCAACTACAGCAATTACTTTTGTGAAAACCACCGGTATACCAACAACGACGTATTTGATAACAGTAACGGCTGAATCGGCAATTATTTCTCCGCATAGGTGAGATAATTAGTGTGCATGTCTCGTTACTGCTACATACATACAGTAGCGCTCAAAAGTATTCGGGCAAACGCTTTCACGCTTTTTCGTTCATAACTTTTTTCATCGTGGAGCAAATCGCGCGAAATTTTGATATGTTCAAATAAAGCATATTTCACACTACACAGCATTATTTGACTGCCAAGCAGCAATATCCACATAACTGAGAGCAGGGTGTTTTTGGCGGTAGCAGACTTCGCTTAAGCGAAGTTAGTGACGTCTGCAGTTATTCGCACCTTATGTGCGTTATTCTTTTCTGCAGTGTTCGACAGTGGCGCTCGTATACTTTGGACATGGCAAAAAGGAAAGAGACTTCAGAAAGACCAAAATCTGTATTTCCAGTTGATTTTGAGTTCAAGCCCTTTGGTATGTCTGGAGCGCGATAGGATTGCAGGTTAATAGTGATAAATATCCACAATACACCCATGCTAACACATTAAAATTTCGCATGATTTGATCCAGTAAGAAAGAAGTTACGACTGAAACATAAAACAGAAGAAGCATTCCGCCGAATAATTTTGAGCGTTACTGTATGTTTACGTGAAAAGTGAAGATAAAGGATGAAGTTTTCTCTCGACATGTAATTGAACATTAGCCTGGAACCATCCTTCTTCAGAGCAGACAGCTGTTTCACCAAACTTCGAAAAAGAAATGGTTCCTCATAGTTGTTGTGGAGCTCGCTCACTATTAAGTACGCATACCGTTAAGCTCGAAAGTTTCTTGCGCTTTAGGTGCATAACATTACAAGTAGTAGACATACAGAAACAGCCTATCTAGCCAAAATGAGTAAAAACAATAAAGGCTAACTGCGAACAAGCGCCTGACTCTTGAATGTCGCAGTGCGCACACTGGCGCATAAAAATGTCGTATGGTGATGGCTGTGACTATGGCGAGTTAACATGGCAAAATCGGTTCCATTCATTAGGTGCCATATGCCAGTTTCCGCTCAAGCATGTATTAGATAATGAAAGTCATAAGACGAATATGAGAAAGCCATTCAATTCTACTAAAGACGACTACTCTTTTCTTACGGTATTCGTTATTCATTGAATATTGTACGAAAAGAGAAGCCGTAGGCGTTGGTGTCCTTCAAGTGGCTCCATGCTAAGACTTATTGCAAGTAGTGCTCAACCACGTATCCTAGCGAAACATACAATGATGGCAGTTGCCAATGAACAGATGATGAATAATTCCATTGATTATTTGTCATAAAGAATATAACAGCAATATTCATGCAGCTATGATAAACAATCGAAGAATTAATAAACTTTTTTCAGACCAAAAAGGAAAAGAAGAGGCAAAGATGATTATACAAAGTACATCCTTTCCTTTTTCTCTTTTTATTTTCCACTGTTGTTGAAGTTCTCTGAGATTGATGGAAGTATTTTCACAAGAATTATCCTACTCTGGATAGTAGCAGCGATTCTGGTGGTATCCGTAATTGCTTACGTCTACTACGACCATACAAAAGTGAAAGCTGCGAGGAAACGTCAACGTAAGTGTTTCAAATAGTCAGGCAGCATCATGGTGTGAACGCCGATTAAGGATTGCTACTAGAAAAGAAGCTGGAACAAAAAAGGGACAAGGACAAGCAAGCAAAAAAGGTGATACGGGTTCAAAGATATAATAAGAAAGTGCTAGTTCGAGCGTTTGAAAATAAAAACCAGGCTTCATAAAGTAGAGGTTTAGTTTTTGAGCTTCCAAGTTTGAAGGGTCGAAGGGACAATTCCGAAGTAGGTGAAAGAAAAACTCGTGACGACAACCACTGCTGTTTGAACAACTTTCCGCTTGATACATTATGTGTTTGCTTATGTGATGGTCTCCAAATTCGTGGTCGTTTTTATATTGAGGAAGCCCTCTTCTGAACCGTTCCTTGCTCTCATTCTGGTTAATCCTGAACAGTAATCTTAAGTGGTGTTATTTCGATCTCCATGCGCTTTGAATGGGCAGCCGATAAATAGTAGACATGCGCAGACTTCTCCAGAGACGCGACATCCGGCACGGCCAGAGCAGCACAGGAACATCCTGGGTTGTATGATTGAGTCTGCCTAGGCCTGGACTTTGTTCTTATTGTTGCGCTCCCTTCTTAGCTCTGATCATGAATTGTACTGAAATAGCATTTGCCTTTCCTAACGTATTACAGTGCATGCATTACTGCATTAATAATAAACAAGAAAACAACCGAAAAACCTGCTACTGATGTTAATCTTCGAGATTGTAAAATCGCAATTTTTCCACTGCATAAAGCAGTTTCTTCACCTCGCGAGACTGATCGGCTCTGATGGCATATCTCTCTGAACGTTGTCCAGCAGTGCGGTAACACAATCCTGTGAACATTCTCTAACCATAAAGTGTGTTGCCAGCCAACAGATGTGTCCAACGATGAGTTCATTTTTGGCAGTGCACTTGACGTGAAATGCATTTCTGCCTTTTGTCGAAGGAGGCGCTTCTAGTGAAGTAAACCTCGAATGGTCTCGGCCAGTGATCAGTGATAGTGCGACCAGTGATACCTACGGAATCTCCATGGCCTTTTTTTTATCGCCACGAGTTATACCATCGATCGAGGCTACAGATGGTCTGTAAAATGTTGTCCTAACTATAGCAGATTGATAGGAACGTGAATAGAACGTAAACAAAAAGCACAGAGTTCATTGGATCTGCTTCCTCTCTGCCTCAATTTGATCAGCTTTTATCAGCATCACATCAACTTGTTCTTAATTATATCTCCATCGTGTGTTATAAAATGAAACATACCAAACAATCAGAACGCCGTTGGAAATACGAAAGGGGTTAGGGAATGAGCAGCCTTCGCTTTCTGAGATCCCCTGCCACCTTTCATCAGTTGTGATCATTTTCTATTATCCTCATGACATGCTGAAGTAGCAGAGCATCGCTACCAGTACAAGTGGTGAAATGGGCCAATTAAATCTTTCCTCCTATGTCCACTCCCCTCACCTGAAAGGAAAATAACAACGAACGGAAAAGGCATGAAAAGCGGAAGCGGTTTGGAGGCTTTAACTATCAACCCCACTGCCACTCTTATCAAATGTTATCTGCCTCGATCTCGCCATACCCCGCATTATCCAACGATGCGCTTCTACTGTTCCGTTTGCGATTAACCAGTCGGGTCGCCCGCTAACGACGTGCTCCCTTCCTTCTTATAACATCCTACTTTATATAATTCGCTAAGTGTCTGTTGTTTTTGCGGTGTGTTTGTGTGTGTATGTGTGTCGGTGTGTGTCTGACCGGAATTTCATAAATCCTGTTCCATGGACCTAAAGGGTTCAAACTTGGTAGCAGTACGGGTGCAGGATGAGAACACCTATGGTAAGTGGCAGGACCGAAGTCATTCACAGGGGGCGGGGCATGCACGATAAAAATTATGAGTCGCAAATACATAACTCCTGTCCCGTGGACTCAGAGTGTTCAATCTTGGTAGGAGCACAGGCAACACGTCGGGAACATTGATGATATGTGACAGAGGTGATAACAATTGGGAGGAGCTGATAAAGCACCTTAGAATGCAAGAGCCGCAGGATCCGCTACTTTCTTCGTATTAACGGTGGAGCATCATTGGTACTTTAGTAAGGGATATGGATTGATAAGGGAGGGACCACAGATGTTCAATGATAAAGTTTGATAACAACTGTTAGGGACGCAAGCCATAGATAGTCATCAGGTCTACAATGTCTTTCATATAAACGGCGGAACACTTTATCAAGTGGTGTAGGATACGAAGGGACCGAAGGTGATTGGTGACAAGAAGTGATAACGAACGAGCAAGGGCTGACAGAGAGCCTAGAAGGATAGAGCGAATAGGTTCGTTATCCTCTTTATGTCAACAGTCATACCTTGGTATTCAAACATTGTTTCTTGATATTTTTCATTTAGTAAGACAGATAGATGCAGTGATAGGAACCGATCAAAGGCAATTCTCCACAAAGAGATGAAAACTTTTTTTATTTTCCACTGTTGGACTACGACCGCTATCCAGCAAGGTTTCTGATTCAATGACACATCGCAGTTTCTTTTTGTTTCGATATCTTTCATGACTAAACACATCCGACTGCCAATAATCTGGGATTCCCAATAAGTGATGAATACCGAAGAAAAGTTAGCTGATAACCAAATCCGATAATGTGTGGCATTATCACTAGACAACATTTGTGAGTACCATTCAAGTCTAGAATTGTCAGTCATTTAAGCCGTCATCAGGACATGTCTTCGAGACGAATTTGATGTCTTGATTTGTTTTGAGATGTCTTTTTTTCAAAAAGGCCTATGTGATATGCCACGACGACATAATTTATTCGAGCTCTTTCTCAGTTACATACACTCACTCAGCTAAACAGCGGATATAAACTTTCAAAGAGGGGAGAAAAATTTTCTTCAATTCAACATCTTTCGGGATAGTGTGTTTGACACAAGAAGAAGGAGAGCCTGGCGTTAGCCGGACGATCCGACTGGTAGTTGTAATAGTCGGCTAACTGGCCCTATCCCCTTCTTCTCCTTAACAAATGATACTATTTCGAAAGTGAAGTTTGACGGAGGACTAAAAGAACATGCAAATGGTGCTCAAAATTCGCCGATGCTTATGCTGATTAGAAGTCTCGTTCTGTTGCTGTTCATCTCGAAAATAATGACCCACTGAAGGTTTAACAGATGGGAAACCAAAGCCTTGTACGGCACTCACATATGTTGTCGAGTTATAATAACAACATTATCAAATGTCTGTATCAATGACGCTTCCTTTTCCTGCGGATATATCATTTGACGATAATCTGAGGTCATTAGCGGTCGGATAACTTTTTCCAAGAACGATGTCGAAGCAAAAAACCGCGGTTCTTCATTGAGTTACAAACTGTGACGGTCGTAATCTAATAGCAAAATTGGATCAATTTTCATATCCCCATAATTTAGTGGCCTTAATCGGTACCTAACACATACCCTACTTGTCGACCTATTACATACCCTACTTGTCAAATGAAACATATCAAAGAGTCAAAGTTAGATCGTGAATGACAAAGGCCTTAGGTTCATTTGAGAGTAGTTCTTGCTTTCTAAGGTCTCTTGTATCGGCAGTACTCATCGTGTCTTCAGTGTTCCCATTCTAAACCCTCTGCTCTCACCAATTCTGAATTGTCCAATTTCTCGGGAAAAGGAATTCTGAATTATCGCTCGAACAATCATTTCTCGCACGCCCCGCCCCTCCTCTCTTCCTCTTTGACAGGCTCCGTTCTTAATACCCCCATTCACGTTCTCATCCTGCCACCTGCACTCTCTCCAAATTTGAACGCCCGTCCACTGGCCCGCTGTGGGCGGAATCCGGTCTTGCCATATGCCACGAGTGTTCCAATCCTGCTCCCAGTATTTCAACCAAATTTTCACGCTTTAGGCCGCTTTAGGAACAGGGGATATGGATCGCCGCTCGAACAATTATTTCGCGCAAATCCCGTCGAGCTGGTCTACCTACCATAAGTGTTCCCATCTTGCCACCTGTATTTCAACGATACCTTTTGAACCTTCTAGGCCAGTGATTTAGTAGCTATGGATTTCCGGCCGGACGCACACACCTATGCGCACACACAAACACACACATCAGCGCGTTGTCTGTAGTGGGATAGGATGGATGCAACGGACTCAGTGATTCTTCCCCTCAACGACTCATTGTCAGTTATTGAAAATTTCAACCACTCGAATTCTACGAAATCATGCACTACAATTAACGTGCCATCCTACTATGAATAATTCGCTAAGTGTGTCTGTTGGTTTGTCGATGTATTTGTGTGCGTTTGTGTGTGTCGGTGTGTGTTCCGACCGGAAATTCATAACACTTGTTCCCGTGGACCTGAGAGTTCGAATATGGTAGGAGTAAGAAGGGCAGGACATTAATGCTTATGGCAGGTAGCAAGAGCGGATTCCTCCCACAGGGAGCGGAGCGTGTGCGATAGAATTATTGAGCCGCGATTTCACGGCTCCTGTTTAGGCGGAGCTAGAGTGTTGAAATTTGATAGGAGCACAGGAGAAGGAAAGGAACACTTATGGCTAGACCCCGCCTGCAGGGAGCGGAGCATGCGCAGAGTAAATGTTTGAGCAGAATTTCGTAACTTTTGTTTCCGTGGACCTGAAAAGTTCAAATTTTGTAGGTTTTGATAGGTGATGTAGAATATGATGGGAACGTAGGTACTCGGTGATCGGAGCCCCGAGAATTACTACTAAGAGAAGGTAGGGAGTCTAAGAAAGCGAGTACCGCCTACCGACCGAAGTCCTACCGCTTTTGGTATTAACGATGCAGCTTTGAATGTTCGGTATGTATGTTTCGTTCATAAGACGGGATGGTAGAGCAAGGTGACAAAAGTGAGTGGTAAGTGCAGTGGTAGGGACCCATTAGCGGTACTACAATAAGCAGATGAGAATCTTGTTCATTTCTTACTATTAGTTTACGACCGCTACACAACAAGGTTTGTAACTCGACGAATTGAGTCAATGATGGATTCTCTTTATTCGATATCATCTGCGACAAAACTTAACCGACCGCCAGTTATCTGCGATTCTCAACTAATGATATCTTCGTAAAGAAAAAAGTCCACAGTTACCACCCGATAATGGTGTTAACACCACATGAAACATTTGTGAGTACCACCCAAGGCTTTTTTTACCTAACAGTTAAATCACTATTGGGTATTCATTCTTCAAAAAAAAAGCAGAGGTTCGAGACCTCCAATCGAAGGGTAAGCACCGACTTACCCTGAACACCATTTGCTCTGCTCTGTTAGCCCTGTGCCGAACTTCGTGTACAAATATTACTTGTTTCCAAGGAGTGGAGAGTTGGCCGATCACTCCAACATTGTGAGGAGGAAAGACCGACGTTAGCCAGGCACAAATCGAGTGGTATCCTATATGCTGTCGTCCCTCAACACTGCGTACAAACTCTAGCCTCTAGATTGATACCGCAAGACGTAATCCAGCCGCTTTTGGTCAATAAGGCTTCTCATATATCCTACCAAATGTACCAACCTTCTTCAACTCAGCCCAACTCAAAACGGAATGTAAACAGTGTTCAATTACGAAGATTTTGTAGTAGAGGATTAATGCTTTTTTTGGTACCTACATTGAACCTTTTTAATGAGCTTTATCGTTTGTAATCGATCAATCTTTTTTGCTATGTTTCATCGACACGATAACAGACGAACTTTTTAATTTTATCAAGTGTTAGTGGCTAGATCAGGATTTCAAAGAAAAAGCTATGAAAGAAGGAATAACAACCATTTGGCTGATATGAATCATGGAAGAAACATATCCACAACATTACCGCCGTCTTGAATGGCTTCTTACCATGTTTGGTTCCATACTGTGTTTCAGTAATATATTATATTATCACTTGCATCACCCTCAATAATCTCCTTGATAGAAAAAGCGGCCACGCCAAATGCGTGCAGCAAAACTCAACCCGAAGGAATTCAAATCAAGAGGTCCATTGGTACTGCAGGCAGCACTGAGAGGAGAAGTTGTGCGTTACGAAATCCCAAGCTTTCGTTCTAGTACCATTTGCTATGAAATTCGTCCTATGCGTGCTTCCAGAAACATGGTCTCGACCAGGACAAGTCGGTTAGCCTTAAAAATCTGAAGTTTGACCCAAGTCAGAACGAAATCGTCTTGATAGGAACAGAAATCGAAAGACTTGAAGGAGTAAGAAGGATTTCGCTAGTTAGCAGCAAATTGAGAGCTGCCACCTCTAAAATTGAGAAGATTCTTGCGTTGAAGTAAACGGTCTGATTTTCAGCAGTCCCAGTCCATCGAACAAGCGGATCGAAGTTATGTGAGTACATTTTCATTTCTGCTCTGTTTTTTTATACAATCTGAAAAGTCGTTGCTACGCCTGAATTCCAATAGTCCAATGCCCTCCCAATTACCCGATCACAAGTGTGCTAGGCAATCCCCACGTAATGCCTTTCATAATGCCACGTAAATATCCTACCATGCATAATGCGCTAATGTCTGTGTGTTTGTGTGTGTGTGTGTATGTGTGTGTGTGTTCCTGTGTGTCCGACCGGAAATTTATAACCTCTGTCCCAGTGGACCTGAAGCGTTCAAATTTGGTAGGAGTACAGGCGGCAGGATGGGAACACCTACGGTGAGTAGCAGGACCAGACCAAACCGCAAGTGTCTATTTTACACTTCCTTGGTTTGATGAACTTCAACAGCAAGCAGCAAGTCGCTTTGAGATCAAGAGTTTCGCATACAGATGTCTAGATTCATGACGAGCAAAACTATTTTTGGCTAAACTCATTACCCAAAGGATCGAACCAATTTTCTCCCATCCTACGAAAACTTTCACGAGAAATATATTGCATTTGAATATCATGCACGAAATTAAAACATTCAAAAGCAGTGATGTTGGAACTTTTCCTCTCAAAAATTACTTTTTTTTTTACAGAATGTTCACTTTTTTACTGTCGTTATCCCCACTAACTGATAAGTTCTAAATACATAGGTCAGCAGCGATGGGCAGGCAGCACAATTACCAGGATTCTTCACACCTAATTGAGGTCACTTTAAGCCTAAGTGCGAGTAAAGCTTCAATTGGCGCGATCGTACAAATGTTCCCTTACCTGCCACAGGTCATTAACGATTAAATTAGTAACAAAGTGATGTCATCGCGCTAGAGTGATTCCCGTCAGTACTCGCATTGTGATTGCTAGTTGCTTGAGTACGCGCCTAATCGATATTAGGCTGATCCGATTTTCTGAAAGCGGGCACTTATATGTATGATGACCTGTATATTATGTTATGCTGTCTAAGCACCATCGCCAACACCACAAATCCTTTGCAAGATTTAATGAAATCAGCCTGGTGGTTGACGGCTGCCAGCCTGATTTCACTCAATCTTGCAGAGGATTTGTGGTGTTAGCGATGTGGTATCGAATCATGATGGCTTGTATCGATTTGTAGACGCGTTAATATACCAATGATAAAGTTGTCGGACAGTCGTCTCGGGCACTGGAGCTTTGTAAGAAAAGCGAAGAGAGGCAAGATTTTTCTGGTGGTGACAACACCGAATGGTCTCCGCTAATTGGGCCCCCTTTCATGGGGCACATCTCTCGCCTGAGTCGCACCTCTTTGATCACTTCTCAGATGAGTACGAAATTTGATTGGGTTGCATTATTCTTCTATCAAATACTAGTCGAATCGGCTCACGCCAATAATTCATTTTCACCTACAAGTTCTGAAGGGAAAGCCTTTTGTCTCCATTCACGCTTATTACCATACCATTTCAAACATAACATTACGTCAAGGATTCTATCAGTTGAATTTACTGGCGCACTAACCTTTCCGCAGCAACTGTATTAGTTAAACCGAAGACTTGCATAATTCTTACCAATGCTGTCGAATGATGATAACAGCACTATCGGAAAGGTATCTATACCCAGAAACATTCCCGCCTTCGTGAATGAGAATCATCAGTCGGAACTATAACAATGTTATAGCCTGATAGCTTTTGTACACCACGGACATGCAAATTATGAAAGGAAATTATGCAAATTACGATAAAATAGCTTCTGAGGTGGGATGAATCTGTGGCCGTTTGCATACCATACGTCATGCTGTTCGGCCGCAAAACGGCCTAAATATGGCGTCATAAAGACTCAAAGATTGTCAGTTTGTACGCTCGGATGTGTTTCAACGGCACTGTAGAGGTTGTACCATTCACAAGGGAATCCATGTAGGAAGTTCAAACGACTCACTATTACCCATAGCGTCAGTAGAAGGCAATTCCGGACAGATTTGACCTGATGTAGTCAGCCTTGTGCAATTGCAATGAATGAAATTTGGTACGAATACCAGTTCCATGTCATCTCGGCCATGGTAATCTCGTACAACCTCTATTTTCACTACCTTTGAGGAGGCTTAGTTTTCAAAAAACTGACAAATTTCCTCAGTTAATTTACCGCCAATACACTATTTCTAAACAATACTTCCGCTTTTCGACACAAAAAGAGTACCTCGAAATTATCGTGAACTCTGCCTTTAAATAGGCCAAATGAAGGAAGGCCGGGGTGGCCGAGCTTACTGCTTTTCGTTCAAGGTAATAATCTCACGCCTCTAGGTGCTCATGCACTCTTAAGACTTACCAGGGAAGGATCCCAAGACGAAGTAGTCATTTGAAATGAGACCTACACTGCTGGATGTGTTCTTGGATGCTGAGTTCAAATCTGCTTTCCAATTTGCCCAGCGTTTCTCTGAACGGAGTTATGAGGGCGGTTTCAGGGAGCTTAACATGAGAAAAATTAAATTACCTGGGTGCGCCTTACTTCTCAACGGCGGCTTGGTGTAGTGGTAAGCGTAGCGCTTCATGAGAGAGAGGCTAGAGTTTGGGTTTTGCGGGGGACAAAGTTTTTGCATTTTAAAGAATTTTTCCCTCAAAGACTAGAAAATACTCTCATGGCGGTTTTATCACGTTTTATGACCTTTCGATGCTTTGCTGATGTTCATCAACATAGGGTAATACTTCAGTTTTACTCGCGTGCCCATGCACCCTATATTCACTGTAGGATAACTTTTGCCACTTCATGAGCAGATGTGATACTCTAGCATGAAATGCATGAGACAAAGAAGCTTCTCACAATGGAAGCAACGGATGAAAAAAAACTGGTCACAGCCCATTCTTTACACTTACTAACCCCAAATTAGAAAGAAAACAGAATTGTGTAGACGTCCCGAAATCACCCACGTGACTGCGTAAGTAGCCGGCGGCATACCATGAATAAAAGATGAATTTCTCGAATCTAGCCGGACAGAACTAAAAGTAGACAAGCGATATTAAGCAAAAAGTGGGGTCTCGTGTGTACACGCAAAGTTGAGATCATGAGCTATTACATATGAAGTGGTGCGTTTAACCATATTTTTGAAAGGCAGTAAGAAGGGAGCTTCTATCGGCTGTATTAGCCTCGTGGTAGTCTCGAGCGGGGTGTCATTCCCTTCACCTGTTTTTGTGGAGGTAGGACGCACTGAATAGCTTTCTGGTCTTTGAATGATGTCTACGAGTCCACTATCAGCAGTACCGTTGTTGGTAAGTCCGGAGCTGCTACGCACCATCGCACGCAATCTAGCATCAACACCCACTCTAGCATTATCATTCCTCATCATATGCGTTTGCGCACGGAGGAATCACCCACTCGGTAACACGAAGGTAGGTAGGAGAAGGTATCAGCAAAGCATCAAAATGTCATAAAACGTGAAAAACCGCTATGGCTGCTTTCATAGTCCGCCGGCACGCGGCCGGCCGGCCGGCGGACTATGAAACCAGCCTATGAGAGTATTTCTAGCCCTTGAGGGAAAAATTCTATGAAATGTAAAACCTCTTACCCACAAAACCCGAACCCTAGCCTTGAAGCGTCACGCTTACTACTACACCAAGCCGCCGTAGAGGAGTACGGCACATCCAGGTAGTTTAAGTTTTCTCATATTAAGCTCCCTGAAGCCACCCTAATAACTCCGTTCAGAGAAATGCTTGGCAAATTTGGAAAGCAGATTTGAACTCAGCATCCAAAAACAAGTCCAGCAGTGTAGGTCTCTTTTCAAATGGCCACTTCGACTTGGGATCCTTCTCTGGTTATTTCAAAAAAATTAAAATCCTCTCTGCTGAAGCAAAATAAGGGCGCACAGACAGCCGGGCCTATCCTCATCTTTGTCTCCTATACAGTGCCAGTTTAACATGAACTAAAGCAGAATCGCGTTAATTTCTTGTTATACTGACACTACTATATGGTCGTCGTTGGTATTACGAGCTCTCGAAACATCAGTGGATAGAGAACATCAAAATTAGGCTACTCAGGTTCGCTACGTACCATCATTCAGAAATCCACCAAATGCATCCAACAACGTAAAACTTGATAATAAATTAATCAAAACTGATCTAACCATAACAGAGAAAAAGGCTCTGAGAGACGAAGACAAAGACAAAAAGAGAACATTTGGTTGATTGGTACTTTCATTTTCCTTTTGTAGAGGGGATGCTGAAGGGATACAGAGCATCCAGTATTAGCTCAATCTATTGGGTGTCCCAAAAGTTCTGAAAAAAATTTATTTGGTTTATTCAGCTCATAGTACCACAACAAAAAGGTGAGATCATCAATCGAGATAGTGTCTCTCTCTAGCCACTACGTCCCTTCATCATTTGGGCATAGCACTGTTGCCTTTCATCCAGAAAGACAAAGGGCGTGAAGCGATCCATTCATCCACTGCATGCTTGACCTCCTGACGGTTGTTGACTTTCTTCCCTATCGTGTAGGCCTCCAGGGTCCTGAAAGCACGGTGATCACGAGAACTAAAATCAGGTGAATATGGAGGGTGGGGTAGCCAGATGATCCCAAGTCTTTCCAGCTGCTCCGTCGTCGCCCTAGCATGGTGAGGATGAGCATTGTCCACCACAATTACAAACTTTCTTTGTAGTTGTTGTGAATTGGGGGCTCCAGACACCATCTCTCGCAGTTGCTCAAGAATACTGGTGCCGTCACCGCAGCACCCTCAGGTAAGATCGTGTAGGGTGGAGCAGAAAAAGAGTGATATCATCTCCTTTTCGGCGTGGTCACCACACTTTGGTACGGGTTGAGGCTTCACGTCCGTTGGAAGCCACTGCAATTTCCTGCAGGGATTTTCATAAGATATCCACTTTCATTCTGAGCGATAATGAAGTCTGTCCAGATCGTCGTTCGCTCCCGGTTGGCAAGTTTTTGGTGGACATCGACTCGCACTCGACGCTCGTGTTCAGTAAGGGAGTGTGGGTAATTCTTGGGAGCCATGCATGTAGGCGACTTTGACGCAGAATCCTGTGGGTAAAGGAAAGAAAAAAAAGCAGTCGTCCTTTCTTCTAGCGGAAGCTAGGACAATGTCGATTTTTGAGGAGCGTGGGCGAATCTCTCCTCTGAAGAAGCAAGCGTACCACTTATAGCAGGTGGAAAGGAAGTGCACTGCTGCCCATCGACGAACATAGCTCCTTCGGGCTTGAGTGGCGGAGTGACCAGATCGGTAGTAATGAAGGAGAAGGCGCCGGTAGTCGTGTCAGTCGGACATAATTCAAATGATGATAACTCACTTCCAAAGATGAAGTGCAATACCGTCCTATTGTTTTGACGATCTACCAAAAGTGCCCTTTTCCTGTCTTTTCCCGTGGCTCTACTTCGGCACTTTCTTGCGCAACATGGTTGCGAAACTCATGACCAAAATTTTCTCAAAACTCTTGAGACACTCTTAATAACAAGGTCTAAAAGACGTGAGAATAGCCGATAATCGAATGGAAAATTTGAGAAAATCGCGCAACACTTCTATAGACCTTTTTCATGCTGTAAACACTATCTTTAGGAAGTAATGGAAGCAGCCAATATGTCACCAAAGGCGCCAGTAGTAGGGACGAAGCAAGCGAAGAAGTCTCCAGATCGCACACAAACACCGTCCTCGGAGGGTGAACATACTCCACGACTCAGGTCTACCGAAAATGCTGAAAGAATGTCGAATTCACTACTCGAAAACGATAAGAAATCATCAGCCACGTCGTCTGGAAGTGCCGAGATAACACACTAGAAGATAATCGATTTCTTAGAAGAGAGATGATAATATCAAACAAACATAAATTGTTTAATCAAATCAAATCAATTGTTCAAAGGAAATGTGCGAAATTCTGTACTTGGATTATACGAAAAGGACTGGCTCAATGGTTAATACTGTTCATAATCTACTTTTCGATAACGTATAATATCTCTCTTGTTTATAAAGCAGGGACGTGGTGTGTCGGCATGTTGGTATGGCGGTATGTCGGTATATTGGTTTGTTTGACTGTCCGTCCGTGATACTTATGGTGATGATAAAGGTAGGTGATAGGTAGTAATATGGAAAACCTAGCTCTGATTAGCATTTCCTTCTTATACATTAAGCGGCAACTCAGTGGGTAGACAAATGGAGTAGAGTGAGTACTGCGGAGTGAAGCGAGAAATGTGAAGTGAAAACTTCAGAGCCGTGATTTCGTTCTGTACTATCATGTCCTAACATTATTCGGAAGTGATAATGTAGTTAATGGCTTCCGTTTTTTTTTCAACATTGAGCGCTGGAGAAAGGTATATAAGAAGGTACCAATAATTGTGCTCTGGAGCGTTTCTTAACCGAGAACATACAGTTTTTTGACCTGAGCTTCAGTGCCACCAAGTTGGGTAAGTCAGTTCGCTATTCAACTCACATCCTTCTAAACACAGGTAAGGTAGGCTACCCCTCCTTCTCTCCTTCTGTCCACTCAAGTCCTCTGGGTTGAATAAATGCGATACCCCCTAACTACATTTTCTGACTGCTTTGTGAAAGTAAGGAATGAGGCCTGGGTAAGCCGGGCGACCTGGCTGATCTATAATTAAATGGAAAGGGATCCTGAAAATTCATTCAAATTCCAATTCAACCTCCACTGGTCATGAAAGTTGTTCAGAGGAGCTCGAATCAATGGATTTCCTATAACTGAAGACGAAGTCTACCAATCTTCTGATCGAGCAGTCTTTCGTCCTGCTGACGCCGAGCTTCCCTACTTCTTTAACGGAGTTGTACTGATCGAGTAACTCTCCACTCCTTCCATGAAACGAATAATTTTTTCTGCACATGGAATTACCCTCAGGACTAAGAGTGCAAATGGTGTACTCTTAGTTCTGAGTCCAATCACTCTAGTGCAAGCCGGTGTTTACGACTGGGGTAAGAAGGCGCGATCTTTCGCTGTTTCTCCTGAGCTAATTACTCTTAAAGGATAAAGGGCGGAGGTGGTGTAGTGGCAAGTGGCGCACTGTATCACACTTACGGTCAGGGGTTCGAATCCCGGACCGATACGCGACTTGGCCACCTAAGACTCCATCCCTACGGGGTCGGTTAATTGCCACCAGACTCGTCTGGGAGGATGAAAGCACTGACTTGTACATCGGCTGGCCACCGCAAGTCATTGTATAGGCCACATACGCACTCATTGCGCCACTACGATTCTGAATGGAAGTCGAGTGCGGGGGCGCATCCCTCAGACGGGATTGATTAACGCCAAAAACTTTATCCTTTTATCCTTTAATTACTCTTAAAGGTTCGCCTGTTAGTCAGCCAAAGCCTTGGGCGGTACTCACAAATGTTTCTATTCCTGGTAACAGCATAATCGGATATCGTTATCAATAGCCTTTTCTTTACAGAGATACCATTAGTAGAGAATCGAAGATTGTTGGTGGTCGCTTAAGTTTCGTTGCAAATGATATTGACCAAAGATCCCCTCCCTTGAGCCACAAAACTTGCTGGGTAACGACCTTAATCTGTTAGCGAGCAATGAACACAATTCCCATCTGTCTATCGTAGTGCCTGCAGTCGGTCCCTATCAGTGCACTTACCAATCACTTTTGTCCTCTGCTTCTGCTCTACCATCCCGTATTATCGAATGCAAAATACTGAAAAGGCAAAGCTACACCGTATACCGAATACGTTGAGATTATGACTGGTAGGTAGCTCTTGCTCTCTCAAACCCCTTATCTCTTATCAATTGCTACCAGCTTCTGTCAACGAGTAGCAACGATCTACCTCACATCCCATGTCAGTTATCGAAATACCAAAGTTTCGCTCTCCATACGAAAGGCTTTTCTCACTACGTTGTCAGCTACGGCCCCTTCATATCCTACATCACATACTAAAGTGCCAAACCTCCACCGTTGAAAGGAAGGGCGTTATTGACCTAGCAGCTCTCGCATTCTATGGCTTGTTATCAGTCCGTATCAGTTTCTACCGTCCCCCATTATTAAATACGGTCCCTTTCAATCCCACACCACGTAATAAAGTGCCAAGGCTTACCGTTAACACGAAGGAGGTAACGAATCCTGCGATTCTCGCTTTCTTCTTCTCGATTCGTTGATTCTCGAAGTCCCTTGCGTAGGTAATATGCTTCGAACTGAACTGCATCTCCCGTCGGCTTGAACTAGCAAAATCATCGTCAACTTTTGTCTCTCCAATCAACTTAAAAAGGTATCCGTCGTCACTCATCTCTAGGTCATTTTCTGAATGGATTGGAAAGTTCTCAGCTTGATGTCGTTCTTGGTCATGCAGTTTCACATCTCCGATTACACGATCTCCGTCAGTCACACAGTTTTCCAATGACAACAGTTTTATTTTCATTGACCTGAATTCTCCGGCCTACTCCTTAGAGGCTACTGCAACTTGTTAAAACTCTCATCCAGTTCACTTGAATAATGTGGGTGACATCAGGAAACTATCTTTTTGAAATCGTTTTCATCTTTCGCTAGAAGTTCTTCCGTCTGCTTGATCACCTGTATCAGAGATCGAAGTTGCTTCTCTGTCGTCATTTGTGGGATTCCCGATCTTTCAACAGCCAGTCTGAAGAGACCCTTCAGGAACTTGCTTGTAGTGCGTAGACCCTTACAGTGAATACGAATTGCGTTCCAACTCGCAGAATAGCTTCCTTTACAGCGCTGGCTGGGTGTCTGTGATTTGTGAGAATGATAACTCTCTCCTCCGCCTCGACATTCACAGAAGAGCATTTATCGGACTGAATAAATCTGAAATGGTCTGGAACAGTATGAGAGACGGTAATATAACCTTGTATCTTATTAAAAAGTGTTTCAAGACCGGTCCCGAGCTGCTCTGCGTTCGCGTGTGATCTCAAGATAGTAGAATATACTTGTTTTGACGTATGAAGGCTGCACTCGTACACTTTGAATATGACAAAAAGGAAAGGAATCTCGGAAGGACCATTATCTGTATTTCCAGTTGATTTTGAGTTCAAGCTCTTCGGGATATCTGGAACATTATCGGATTGTATGTTAATAGTGGACAATAGACACTACACACCCATGCCATGTACATATGTATATCGGAATTTCGCAAGATCATATCCAGCAAGAAAGCAGTAACGACTAGAAAGTTCGACTGAATAAGCTTCTGGCCGGTTGAGCGCTACTATATGTGCTTAAGAGTACATTTAGACCCCTATGATAGTTATTCTGTGAGTGCTTCTGTTGGTACGTCTCAGTTTCCTATGCGTGAATATAAGCGTGTCCGTACTGTGGAACAGCCGGAATTCATGATATCGCGGAGCTTAAATATGCTTTAGAAATTTCATGCCCAGTTTAACAAGTTTGATGACGAGTTATTATCAATAACTCAACTGTTTTTACCAAAAGGGAGTGAAAAAGGAATAATAAACACACGATGAGTAAGTTTCATTCGCATGACCTGGCCTCCTCTGGATGTTGCTATTTATTCTGGAGAGGTACTCTTGCTCGTAAGTCCACAATAATACTGAATATTTCTTGATTCATAAATTGGAGAACTTGATGGAAATCTTTCAATGGGGAGACTAGCGTAATGCCACCTCATTAGTGATTCTCCATTCAGAGGCTACGACGTGAATGGTTCTCTTCTCCATGTTGGTACCACGTGGCTTATCAAATGAAGCGGGCATTTCAAACTATACTAAAGGTCTCGGAGTTGCCTCACTCATTAGCGAATTCTGGAAATGCCTTTCTACGTCTTGAACTAACAAAAATTTAGAAAATATTCAAATGATAGCATGAAGAAAGAGTTGTTCACTACGCAAACCCTTACCGAGAAGTGATTTATAGGTCCTCGTTCTTTTGGAATATCCGGCTACCACTACTGCTGGCACCACGCTGAGACAACTACACAACGTGAAACGTCAACATGTCATTGAAACGGGTTAGAACCACTACCGGCCAATATTATAATTCTAGTGTTTGAAAGTCAGAAAATAAGAGCGTAGCGTGAACTGAGCTTATTTGATGAGGAGTTCACTCTGTAAGACTTCTTCTCAAGGAGTCACACCTGGCAAAAGAGGATATCGATGCTTATGTTCCCACCAGTCGGGTCGCCCAGCTAACGCCGGCTTTCCGCCTTCATATGACAGAGTTGTAGTGAGTAATAGCAAATCGGCCCCTCCTTATTGGGAACAAATAATATTTTTCGAAACGACAGAGGAGCAGCATGGCATGCGAGTGGTATTCAAAGTGAGCTGGTGCTTGTGCCAATGATCAGAATTCTTGATCTGTCGCTGTTCTTCTTAAATTAATGACACATTGATGATCAGACTGGTAGGCATCTAGAGCCTTGAATGGTACCCACAAATGTCGTCGAGTCATGACAGTACCATTATCAAACGCCTTTATAAATGTAGCTCCTTTTCTCTACGGATACATCATTGAAGAGAGTTCAAGATTATTAGTGGTCGGATAAGTTCTGCCAAGAATGATATCAAATTAGAGAGAAACTATGATCCTCTATTGAATTGCGAATTTTGCTGAATAACGGTCAAGAATAACAAGAAGTGAACCAAGTTCCAACTCCCTATAATCGGTCCCTATCACTGCACTCTCCCTATTGTCGAATGAAACTTCTTCTCCTTCTTCTCCCTAACGTTAATCTTTCGCCGTCGCAGGGTCCGCTGTTCTTGTCAGCCGTCTCCACTTGTTCTATCTATAGCATCTTCTGCCAACACATTAGCCTCGGCGAGGTCCTTCTTGATCACGTCCTCCATCTCTTCTTTGGGGCTCCTCGTAGTCGCTTACCTTGAGCCTCCAACTCCATTGCCTCCCTTATCGGCTGGTTCTGTGAGCTTCTTAGTATATGCTCGAACCATAGTACATGCCCGAACCATCGCAAGTGCTGCTCTCTCATCTTCAGTTGAGCTGGGGCTGCTTGCATAGCAGTCCTGGCGTCTTCATTTCTGACCCGATCCAGCCACGTCCAGCCGCAGGTCCATCTGAGCATTCTCTGTCATTGAAATGGAGCTGTCCCTCATAGGTTTTACTCAAGGGCCAACACTCGCTGCCGTAGAGCATCGTGGGCCTTACTTTTGTCCGAAACACCTTTCTTTCGAGAGTCTTGGAGCACCGACGGTCGCGGAGGATACCAGTGGACTCCCTCCACTTTATTCATGCAGCGTTTATTCGGGATTTCACGGCCTGGTCCACGCTACCATCAGCGGCTAGATCACTTCCCAGGTATCGGAAGTCCTGGACCTTTTCGATGGCTTCCCCGTAACCGTCGGTGATTGACTCCGTGCCCTCCTCGGAGCTGAGGAACTTGGTCTTCTTCACGTTCAGCCGGAGTCCATTTCCCGCCAGCACTTTCTGCCATTTCTGGAGATTGTCCTGGAGTTCTTCCTTAGCGTAGAGGATGGTCTCAAGTGGTCCATCCACGAGTTCCTCTGTGATGACGTCCATCGTGAACAGGAAGAGGAACGGGCTCAGAGCTGATCCCTGGTGTACCTTAATAGAGACATCTACTGCTCCCGTTTGGCCGTGCGCAGTGCGTATTGTTGTAGTGGAGCCATCGCAAATATCCTTGACCGAGGACGATGTTCTGGCACGTTTCGCTTTCGGAGCGCACTCCATAGGACCTGTCGCGGGAGACAGTCGAATGCCTTCTCCAGGTCGGAAGGCTAGATAGCAGGGTCTACGCTTTTCTCGATACTTCTCCATAATTTGCCTAGCTATGAAGATGGCATCCGNTTTCATCGTGTGAGCAGTCAACCTGATCCCCCGGTAGTTGGAACAGTCCATCGCGTCCCCCTTCTGCTTGAAGATTGGAACGATAGTGCTCCTCCTCCACGCATCTGGGATTCTTCCTTCAGCGGTGACAGTGTTCAGGAATCGGGTGAGCCACTTTATCCCGTGCTCTCCTAGCGCCTTCCATGCCTCGATCGGTACTCCATCCGGAGGTATTGCCTTTCCAACCCACATCTTCCCTATTGCTATGCGCACTTCATCCTCTGTCCAGAGTTTGATGGGGCCAGCCGTTGCCTCCGAGTGGGAGCTGTTCTCACGGGCGAATTCTTCGTTGAGGAGCCTGTCGAAGTACACCTTCCACCTACGCCTGACCTCGTAAGACTCCCTAAGGATTGCACCCTCGCTGTTCTTGACGGACTTCACTACCTCGACGTCCTCAGTAGCGCGGTAACGCGCTTTCGCCAGGCGGAAGACGAACTTTTTCCTTCTCACTGTCAAGTTTCTCATACAAGTGTCCATTCCCGTGTTCTTTGCCTTCGCTACAGCAGCCTTGGCGAGCCTCTTGGAAATTCTGTAGGAAGTTAGGTCCTCTGGAGCTCATGTCCCTCGCCAGCGTTTGTAGGTCAATTTCTTCTGCCTCACAAGTCGCTGGACTTCGTCATTCCAGAATCATGCTTCCTTGTCCCCTTGTAAACCAACCCGAGTTTCCCCCCAACTTTTTCTCTGCAATCGCAAGGTGGCCTTCACAGCGTTACTCAACGTCCGCTGGACAAGGCGTCCATTTCCGTATTCTTTGCATTCGCTGCGGCAACCTTGGCGAATGAAACATAGTTATTTACTCGTTAACGATTATTACTCATTTATTTGCTCATTGCGATTATTATTTATTTATTTCTTAACATATCGAAGAGTTAAATTCAGATCGCAAATAAAAACTGCGCTAGAATTAAGTGGTGAGTGGATCTATCGTCAGCATTCCAATCCTGCCTCCTCTATCCCTATTGATTTCACTCTCCAAGTCCACGGGACCAGGAATTATGGCTTTTCACTCAAGCATTTATTTCGCGGAAACCCCGCCCCCTATGGGCTGAATATGGCCCAACATAAGTGTTTCCATGATACCGCCTGTCCTCCTACCTAGACTGAACGCTCAGGAGCCGAATTAAAAATTTCTGAGTAAACCCCGCCTCTATTGGTGGAGTCCGGTCCTGCCTCCAACCATACATGTTTCCATCCTGACTCCAGTCCTCCCACACAATTTAAACGCTCTAGTTCCACGGAGACAGTAGTTATGACTTTTCTCTCAAACATTTATACCGCTCAAAGCCCGCCCCTTGTGGGCGAAGTCTGGTCCTGCCGCACGCCATAGTGTTCCCATCTTGTCTCCATATTTCTGCCCAGTTTAAACGCCTTAGGTTCACGGAGGTAGGAGTCATGATTTTCCGGTCGGACACAATATAGGGTAATTCGGGACCTTAATCAATTATGTGCAGCTTAAGAAGTAAACCTCACATTTTAATGAATAATCATTGTTGGAATCAAGCGCACTTTATCGCGAAATGCTATTGACTAGCGGTTTACACTGGGCCCCAGTTCGGGTGGAAGCCTAGATGCAAACTTGATTTCTACCATTTCTTATTCAGATATGTTATGAACTATTATGATGTCACAGCTGTACTTGAAGAGGATATGACTGCTTTGAACTAACAAAAAATTTTGCTTTCCTACAGAAAGGAAGATTGCATAAGCGGGGAGATCCGACTTTCAGTATGTATAAAACGCATCTACCTGCCTGTCTGTCTGTCACGAAACCCTATGCTAATTGATGAAGTATCTGCAGAGGTTTGGAATGGATGGGGTATAGGGTAAAATCAACTCAGAAGCCATCGAACGAAGAGGTTCAAATCCCCATTGCGTACAGGTGACCGAAGAGAGCAAAATCAAATTCAAAAATTCGTGGCTCTGTCCACAAACGCTTTCTGTTGCCACGTAATCGTTAACGTGCTTCGGCCCAACTGCGGAAAAAAAAAGAAAACGTGGAAAATGACCTGCACCTACAATGCAAAGAATGATGATGAGACGCTAGTGCGCAAGTTTTTTTTTATAAAATGGAGCGGGTGTTGTATGCGATCAGAGGTAGAACCTGGAAAGCACTACTATAGTATTCTGACACGTCCTACCTATTCCTTTTATCGTCTATTTCAGAAAACAAAACTATTCTGCAACCACCACCAGCGTTTGTCTCTTCACTAGCTCCTATGACAAATAAGCAACATGGAGACGGAGCAGAGCGAATAAAATCGACTACGATTTTTGGAGACAAAATTAGTACGCTGCAGTTTCCACTAGTTTTTTTCAAAAGCGTTTATTATCAGTAACCACATTTGAAAAGACTCGACCTCGAGTAATTTCTCTCGGTACAGGTATCTAGCGGTGAGGCTGAATTAACACCGGCCTTAACTTCAACGTCTGCAGCCGAGCCGTGGACAGGTGAAGCTAGTTACGGTGGACGTGCGGCACCACGTCCGATTATTCTGAGCATCCTTTGTTTGACCTCACAATGATTCCCTATTTGAAGTCATAGTCACGTATCGCAGTGCTCCTTCAAGCGCATCGAAACCAGAATCGGGCGAAATATTAACGACATTTGGCGGAGCTTCTAACGTGCATTCTCAGAGGAGGAGATATCCTGTGAATGATAGACAAGGCACAAAAGTTGCTGCAGCCGGTACTCTGAATTCTACAAAACCAGTATAGAAAGCATCCGATCCCTGCAAGCTTATACCTCATCCAACGTCTCGCAAGAGAACTCAGGCGCACGTTTGCAATTGGGAACTGTCTTTGGCGACGGTTTCATAATAAATAACAATGTTACAGACACATCTCCTCATGATAGAGCTTCGACAAGAACAAGTACTTCTAAAACTGTATCACTGTCGTCATTCAACTCTCCTACGGCAACTCAAAGTGCCAATGTGTAAGTGAGAGCAATTTGTTCCACTGTGTGAATTGCTTGAGCGTGTGATGGGTTGTCAAGGGAAACTTGGTGGAAACCTGCAAGGAAGTATAAAGGATTCGAAAATAAAGCAGATGGAATGTTGGGGGTTTCAACTTGATTACAGGTCTTTTTTTTCTTTCTTTTTTATTACGAGTGAAAAGAGATATCTCTTCCATCCCCTTATCTGAAATGAGAAACTTATTTTCTGTTGAGCTATATGGTTCCTTATTACAAGCGCTGCATCGATTCTATAGGGCAAAGCTAGTCGAGATAAAGCGCCCACGTTTAACACGTTTATCGCATTTTGAGTCAGATTTTCATAAATCCTTTCACCATCTCCACTCAACGTTTGTGACTATGACTCCGAACAGATTGTCCGAGCGCACGACTACTGTTGACTAGAAATTTTTATCACCTCTCGCCGTTCTCCTCGTTTACGGCACTTTTTATGAGAAACAGTTTCTAAGCAAGGAAGTCTCTTACTCGCATTTCGAGGCTTTCATTTCTTTGCAAATTTGCTGTTTGTGAGTTGCTACTGCATGTAGATAGAATATCGGTTGGTCCTTCGCATATCTTGACAGAGTCAGTTGATGATAAGAGCTTCGCTTCATTTGCAATAAAATGTGGAAGTTGAGTTGAATTATACTTGCGAGTTTCTTCAATAGTTCGCCTTCCTCCTTGATTGATCTGGCCCATACAGTGTGTACGATACAATCATACATCATAAATGAAGCAGTGGATATGCGAAACGAAGAAATAGGAGTCGATAGTTTATTTAATTATTCATTAAAATCGTTTTTGCCACGGCTCTAGAACCGTACCTTTTCTTCTTTTCCTGCAGACAAAACAAGTATCATCACTTTCCCAAATTTCTCTTGCGTTTTCATACAACCTTTAGGCTCTACTTCCTCCGTTTTGCTGTCACCATTCCATTAACATTTTTCGTTGCCGCTATATTGCTCTATTTGTACTATAGCATGAAGAATACGTTTGTGGGTATGTTATAAATCATATATACGATGACTGACCTTTTTGTACCTCCCTTATCACTTAGCATAAGTCCGTGCTTATATTTCTAGCAAGAATGAGGGATTTGGCAAAACGGAGGATAAAGGAGCAGGAGTCGAAGGTACGCTTCAAAATTGCTCTCTTGACTTGTTGTATGGAAAAAAAGCTCACAACTCAGAGGAAGTGCTTCCGTAACGCGCGTCATTGAAGGAAAGAGAAAAAATGCAAGAGTTAGCATTCCATACTGAGGAGTAGCGACTTAATGGTATTCCTGCTTCTGAAAATTACAAAATATACCTGACGAGAACAAAGTCTACTGTGTGTTGACTTGCCGCTGCAGAAAGTGGCAAGATGACAGACATTGACAATGAGCGTCTCTGAAATTCGATGACAATAATGGTGAGGTCATGCGAGTCAACGCAACCAAGGATTTGTTCCATCGGTGATTATGTTACTCTGCATTTGTGACCCCTCTCGTGGTGCAACCGCGGCCTATGGCGTCAAACAGTTGTGGTTGCTTTTCTGCTGCGTTGTCATTGAAGAGGGTTATATCTGTTCCTGTATCAAATCAGAGGAGTCAGTTATTGATCATAGACAGGGATATTGTAACACTATCACAGTTCGAGAAGGACTAAGACCTTCGGGTATGTGGATTTACGTGCATCCGAGGATGCACGCAGCAAATTGTAACGATTTGAATGACTTTAGCGCCTATCATTGGGCCGAAATTCGAAGTAGAGTAGATTAGAGGAACACCTGACCCTACTAAATTACTCTACTTCGAGCTTGTGCCCCGGAAATTGATGTCAGTGTCGTACAAATCGCCACAAATTTCGCCGCGCAATTTGCCGCGCGCGTCCTCGGACGCACGTAGTGCACGTCCCCACGACCTTCATAAGTTCGTAAGTAATAAATCAAATCATTTATAAATCAAAGAATAATGGCAGTGGGTGCATGAATTCTCTCTCTGGCAACCACAGGTCACAGTCAGGGGCGATCCTTCATCCTACTAGAGTCCCTAGAAGCAATTGTCCTCCAAATTTCGTGCCCGCAATTCTTCCTAGTCACTGATTATGTTCGGAACGTTCAGGAGCCGCGAGAAGTTGAGCCGGAGATGCTAGATATGAGGATCTTCAAGGACAAAGGGCCACTGATTATGCAGAAATCATATAGTGGAGATGTCGTGCGGCCTGCTTTTTTTTTACCTCATAATTATGATGACTGTTTTTCCAGGAATGCAATTATGATAAGTGACTTTCCAGAAACACGCATTGCAAGATATCCGGTCCATGAGCCTCCGCACCCTCGTATTCGACACTGCACAAAATTCCCTGGTCAAAATAGGAACCGAAGTTGAACAAATTGTGGGGATAACAGAGGAGACGCAAAAAAGCATCGAAGACGTCAGCGTCGCCTTGAAATACTCCGTTCAAGATATCTATCAAATCTGATACGTTGCAGGATTTAGTCACATGCATATCAGTTTCTGACCGAAGAAGGAAAGCGGATTCCAGCGAATTTCCAATCTCTAAAAGACACCAAAGGATGACAAATTTGACAAATCTTGAAGAGGTCGTCGAATAAGATAACATTGCTTTGAGTTGACTCCGTTTTAGAAGGAGGTGGTATGCATCGTAATTTGAGTACGTTCAGGACTTGGCAACGTGCATCTCTGTGTCAATATCTGAAAATATAAATGCAAGAAAAAAGAGCAGCGAGTCCACCTCTGCCGAAAAAACGCTCTCACAGCATAGCATCGGAAAAGTTTGTAGATAAATGAATAGGAATAAGCAGGTTCCCAGTTTGATTTTTTCAGAACACTATGTCTTCTCCACCTAACTTCTGCACAAAAAAAGGAGGCTCTTGCCCGTTTTTGCACAAGAAATGAAATCCTCGTCTAAGAGCTGTGATCTTTGACAACTTCTAAAAGGTGCCTAGGGGAAATTTAAGAAATTTCAATGCAACATATCTCTCTTACTTCGCATTCATTGAAACTTAAACAGTGCAAAGTGCTTAATGCTGCTTCGATGATGTAGATATGATTTTGGTTCGAATAAACAATATTTCATTTGGACAACTCTTACCAGATTGATAGCATGAGCAGGATGCCTCGAGCCTCCTTTCATGAGCACTTCAGCTCGATGAAAAGTGTTTTTTCCGATTTGAATGAAATTCATTTGGGCCTCAGCTCTCCTATTTTGAAGTTAGGTTAAAGTTTCGCTTTGTGTCCATTCTCGCATAATTCAAAGCTTACATGGTAACCGATGATGTAAGCAGTTATTCTTCGAAAAGATACCTCGATAGGTGCTAAAACATTCGAGTGGAAAGGTCCACGTCTCTAGGCTCCATATCAATGTAGAAGAGCTAGTCTACAAAATCATGATAAATATTGAAGAATCACTGCATCGTCAGCGTCAGTGATTTACAGATTTAGCGAGCAAGCGCACTGTCCAAGACATGTTTAAGCAGTAAAGCTATGTTTTAGGCGAGGTTCCTTTGGATGCTTAGCTCCTTGTTCATATGAAGTAAAAGTAAAAGTAAAAGTTCAAAGTAAAAAGTCATCCCCTTGAAAATCCAAGATTTTTGAGAAGAATTAAAGGCGCTGTTTTCACATGTATTCGTGGTAAGAACTGCCTATTCAGTAAACACGCTGTTGGAAGTGCTATTTTGAGAATACTTATGTGTTAACTTGGTGTTGCCAAAATATCCTAGTTGAGGTTTCGGGGCAATAGATTTGTTTTGCTTGCTTTGCGGTGGAAATTTCAAGTTGGCGAAGGGCTAACAAGCTAACGACTACTCAGAATAGAAAACATCCCAACACTTGTAGAACCAGTTCAATTCCGATCGCATCTGATAGCCCCCGATTAACGTAATCTGTCAAAATTACTTCCACGGGATCATCTTAGCAGCTCAGTAACCAAAATTTTCCCAAGAGTGGAGCCATTGTTAAAGGCACAGTTCACAACTTCGAGGTAACACTTTTTATACAGAAACCAATATATAGCTTGAGAAGAGTTCATCGGTAGTGAAGAGAGCGAAAAAATCCGCCAATAATTCTTAAAAGTAGGGCAAATAAAGGTAGGGCGAGTCTACCACGACGGAGATAACATGGATGGGGTATTCGGACGAGATTTCAGTTGTTGCAACTGCGTAAAGAACTGACGACATCAAGCTAGAACTGTACAGAACTGTCTTTCACTGTCGCTATGAGTCATGACAAGTTGTTTGAACTTCCTACATGGGTTCCCTTGTGATAGGTGCAGCCTCTGCATGCCGGTGGAACTCGTCCCTGTTACAACCTAACTAGGCCGTTTTCGGACCCGATGGCGCCAGATATGCTATACGGGTTGACCTCAAGTTCATCTTATCAAGGAATCTCGGAAACCTTTTCAACGTGAACTGTTGGCTTTTCTTCCAAATCAGCATTCACTCGATAGAGGCCGCATCCGTCCTACGATTTCTCACCAGGTGCGGATTTTTTGCAACAAGTTTTATTTGGGGAAACGATAAAGATACTGAACAAAAACATGTTCAAATGATTACTCCGGAAATGAACCACCATCCACGTCAAGCAATGCTTCCCATTGTCTATGTAGTCGCATTCCAAAGGCGAAGAAGTTTTGATCTTTGGAGGCGATCCACGCTTCGACATCAGCCATCAAGTCATCCAGTTCGCCGTAACTTCTATTCTCTATCCAGTTTTTCAACTTCAACGAACGGTTGACGTGATAATCATAAAAGTTTCTGCCACTTAATATGGTAGATTTAGTAGCAGATCCCACTTCTTAGTTGGCTTTGGCTGATTGTTCTCTCGCCGAGAAGCTATTGAGATCACGAAAGACCCTGCCCACTTCCAACCTTTCTCGAAGTAGTAGAGCATAATTTTGCGAATATGCGGATGGTTTTCTGGACGCATTTTTACAGAGAAAATCATGGAGATCTTTTTTATGAAAAAAACTCAAACCTGAAATGGGGCCTCACAGTGGGACGAATCAGAAACTCATAAATCATTCAGCACACTTACTATGTAGACCTCTGAAGAATTTCTACTTGTGGTAGAGGCGATAGGAGCGACAGAGGAACCTGAAATCGAAGTAGGCCAAATCAGTAGACTTACAGTAAGCAATGGCATCACAAAGACAAGCAACAATGTCGGACTGATCAGAAGCTGACTGCTCTATTCTCAGCCGTTCTACAATCCCCTCCAGTTGTATTGCAAGTGGGAGACATGGAAATGTCTGGTCCACTTTTGTAGCAATGTCACCCTGATAGTTTTGTACCATGGCTTGCAAGAGTCCAAAGACTGAAAGAGCTAGAACGACCCTTTTTGGTTCCCCATGAACCTTCTATGTTCCTATCTCGTGCCACTCAAGCGGCAAGACCGCGATGGTCCACACGAACCTCCATTTGGTGTAACCGATCATAGTTCGATGGATTCCCTCAATTTTCACACAAATCTCCACCGAAAGCTGTTGGTTCAATTTGCCGCTAAGCGAAGAGGATCGAACCTCACGCTACAGCTATCATGATGATATCCTTCCTGGGAAATCCTCGTTCTGCAAGCTCTCTAAGTGTAAGTGTAGATAAAATAGGGTAGGAAAGCATATATAGCATCCTGAACCCGAACATTGCGCGGGCTTCCTATCGCAGGTGCTAGGCAAGATTGTGTTCAGCGGATACATATTCTTGCCCTTCAACATACTCAACGGCAACTCCGTTTGTTGTTGTCTATCTTAAGAAAATGAATCATTATTCAATTCTTGAAATGCCACTTTGACTGGAATCAACGATATCCCCTCACTTGCAGCTCAAGCCTCCTCTTCATTAGCAGCAGGGTCTGGCATTTTGCTCGCTTGCGGAGAAGCAATAACAACTTAGAGTAGCTTGCAAATAGAGCCGATTGAAGAAGTGTCACAAACCATGCTTGCTGATGGTGAGTTCTCCGCCTTTTATCAGCTACCATTGTAATATCAAGAATGCACATCCGAGCATGCCGTGATCACCCACCTTCCTCTGAACGTGCAAGAATCGATGCTGAGACAAATTTTGCTCCACGAAGACAAAAGGGCTTTGTAATTTGGATGTTTCCCAAAATCTCTTTGCATTGGCGTCATGGCTTACTAGAAGTTAACGCAGTTGTCTGGAAAGTTAGTGAAGAGCTATAAAGTTATGCTCCCATAATTACAGCAGTAATTACAAATTGCTCTAACCTAGATTCAGATCTGAAATGTCTTGCTCGACATGAATCTTACACTCAGCATTCGTAGACCCGTCATAGTGCTTTTGTGGGTGAATGTTCGGAAAGTCTCTCTTCCTGATTCTGGCCACCACAGTTTTTCTTGATGTCTGGTGGTCAATCTGATTCAGTACGTCGCCTATCTTCGCTTTGACTAGCTGAAAAACTCGTTCTTTGTGATCTCTCTCTTTCTGCAGTTGCATCGTCTTGCACTTCCGTCGTTTATCTCATTCTTGCTGCCTCCGAGATTTTGCCTGCTCTGCATCTCAAGTTTGACTGGCCCTTGCTGCACTCCGCTTCGACGACCTTGTTACGATGAATGTAGTAGCTGTTGCAACACTGCCTGTGAGGCGAGCTCTTCTTTGCTCCACTCCTTTTTGTTCATTCCCCTTTATTGCCTTTTAAGCAAGACTTTTTGTAGCAAGAAGGAGCCAGGTAGCAGTTTGTAGCTACCTGGCTCCTTTTTGCTTCCTCTAATCACGAATAATAGTATTTAAGAAAAACGATCAGAATTGTAACTAAAGTGCAGATAGGGTCTGGAAAGTGGATGTTAAGGTGCAGGGTAATCTGAATGCATCTAAAACGCTGTAAAATGAGTACATGTGACCATCAAATTAGCTATAGCTTTTTGAATACGTGAAAGCGCGAAAACGATCTTGACGAAGCCAAATCTTACGAACGATTCTAGTACTCTGAGTTGTGACTGCAACAATTATCAAGTATGAATCAAGCTTCGGAATCTGATGATGAATTGTTTCTAGTGAAATATATGTGTAATTGGATTATACGATTTCAGTTGGCATTACCATGAAAAACTTCGGAAAAGCAGAAAATTACTCTATCCTGAGGCTGTCTGAGGTTCGGATAAGAGGCCAAACTGTGGAGAGGAAACGCAAAAATATTTTCGGAAATAAAGCACATCAGAGCGAAAAAGGAAAGCTGAGATTCCGAAAACAAATGGTCTGTACATATTGAGGAAATGGTTTCAAAAGTTACTATACCTTTGAAAATTTACATGATAACAACTCTTGGTCAAAAATTGCGTGAGAATACGTTGTCAGGACTCAAAAACAACAAGGGGCTAAGGTGCACTAGGATCGAAATGGTTGCCTCTTAGGAATGTGGCAGAGCGAAGCAGAAGCAACGCCACAAGTGGAAAACGCAGGAAGAGTAGAATCATGCCAAAAATAGTAACCGTATATAGATGACGCAACTAGCCCGCGACTATCGCATGCGACGATTACACAAAACCGATTCAAATGCTCTTCTCTCAAGCAAGGATTGTCATAGACGTGTAGTATAAAGTATTGTCGAGGATTTGTTCAACGGCAAATCCACACTAATACTT